AAAAAAAAAAAAGCCTGTCTACTGTACTTCTGGAGAACCTGCCTAAATAGAAACTAAAAGCCTTAGGAATTAGCCACCATGATGGTTACTTTTAGGTGTTGACTTGACTGGATTAAAGAATACCTAGAAACCTGGTAAAGCATTATTTTTGGGTGTGTCTCTGAGGGTATTTCCAGAGGAGACTATCATGTAATTCTGAGTGGACTAGATGGGAAAGATCTGCCCTCAATGTGGGCAGGTATCATCCAAACTGCTGGGGGCCCAGAGAGAACAAACACATGAAAAAGTTGAATGTGTCCATCTATCTCCTGGAGCTTGGATACACTCTTCTGTTCCTGACCTTAGATAACAGCTACAGGCTTCTCAGCCTTTGGACCTAGGAAGTTACACCAGCACCTCTCTGGGTTCTCAGGCATTTGGCCTCAGACTGAGAGTTATACCATCAGCTTTCCTGGTTCTGAGGCCTTTGTACTTGGACTGTCCCATACTACCAGTATCTCAGGGTCTCCAGCTTGCAGATAGCCTATCAGGGGACTTCTCAGCCTCTATAATCGTGTTAGCAATTTCCACTAATAAATCCCCTGTCATCCATCTCTCTATCTATATACCTTATTGGTTCTGCTTCTGGAGAACCCTGACCAATACAGCTATTTAGGGGCTTAATCAATAGACTAAAATAGGTCAAAGAGCACCTGGCAGAGGAAGAGCATTTTGGCGACTTACAAAACCAACACATCTTAGTCAGCCTACTAGGCTCACCTAAACCAAGTGCAATCAGTCCTGTGATAATAGTAAAATGCATGGAGATTAGTGCCATGTGGAAATAGGGATTCATAAATGAGTTCTTTTCTTCACTGAGAACTTCCCAACCCCCAACTACCCAAAGTGGCTTTAAATACAAATTAATTCAATTTTCAATAACAGATTTATTTTCAAAAAAGGAAATGGGAGAACTTTTGGAAAGGAAACATTCAATCAAGTACTGTCAGTATTTAATTGGTTGGCTGGTAGAAATAAAGGCTTCTGTAGCCTGCATCTTGTAAGATGCTCACCC